CACACGACTACCGGGACGTAACAGCACTTATACACACACCCACCAGAATGGCTGGTTACCATATATGTAAACTTCTTAATAGCTCGATTATTAATTAATTTTTTTGTTTTGTTTTTGTTTTTGTTTTTCCCGGTACTTCTAAGGAATAAGTATTTGGCCAAAAAAAAAAAAAAACCGATAAAATATTCTCAACATTTATTGGCTTTCACAGCTTTTTAGAGGTGACAATAATTAGCAAAATCTGTGGCAGCACACACTAGTTTAAAAGTTTGTTAGAATAATTCATGCTCACCAAGGCTACATTTATTCGATTAAAAATGCAGTGAAATGTTGTCATACTTACTACTTGCATATATACAAATAACTGATTTCTATTTAAATATATTTTAAAATGTAAATTATTCTTGTAATGGCGAAGCTGAATTTTCAGCATCATTATTCCAGTCTTCAGTGTCACATGATCCTTCAGAAATCATTCTAATACTAATTCTAATAAAAAGACACATTTATTATTTTTTACTAATGTTGATGGAATACATTTTACATTTACATTTTTTTTTTATAATACAAATGATACTTTTTGTCCAAGATTATTTGATTAATAGAAAGTTCATAAGAACAGCATTTATTTGAAAAAGAAATATTTTGTAACATTATAATTGTCTTTATTGTGTAGCCTATCTCTTGGTCGATTTAATGTGTTCTTGCTGAATAAAAGTAACAATTATCTTTTTTTCAAAAACCTACCGACCCCAAACTTTTGAATAGTAGCGTATTTAATTTCCATCAAAACAGCATATTCACTGATACAGCAAGGCATATTAAAAGTTGGAATCAGTTATTATCTGTATAAATGGTACACAAGTAACTGTGCTTTTTGTGGTCACAGCATCCAGGCGGCTTTTTTTTTTTCTTTACGCAGACCGATGCGACTGTAATACCAGAATCAGACCCAGCATACCTGCACCTCCAAGTCATTACAAAGGTCTAATTGAGACCTCTTCCAGCTCTCAAGACCGGTCTAAAAGAAGGGGCTTCACGCTGCTTAGCAAAAATGAGCACACCAGGAGCAAGAAACCTTGGTGTCTTGATGCACTTGTGGGAGGCTGTCATTTTAAAGAGCACCCCTTTATAGCGATGGCACATTGAGCGTCAGTCAACCTCAACACTGCTGGCAAGGAGATTACGGCTCTTTGCAGCCTACCGCTTGCTCTCTTTCTCTCTCCACTACCATTTGAAGCGGAAAACATTCAGCAGAGTGAAGTGTAGAAATCACTTCCATGGCTTGTTTTGGGGAGGAACAGCAGAGAGGTTTAATATTAGCAATTTGGCATCTCGATAAAAACTAATTTGTCTCTGTACAGTGAAGCAGAGATGTAACACGTAATGAGAAGAGATAATAAATTTGCCTTCTATCTGGCATTTTCCATCATGTTTATTTGACTGCACTTCACAACCTTGACAAAATCACATTTTGCTTTCACAAGTTTACTGGCGCTGCATGAATTATGGAAGGCGCTGAGAATGATGGAAGATACCAATAAAGAGTTTTTTTGTAAAAAAGCGACTATTTGAGCCATTCCCTCCATCTGCACTTATTTTATAGACTTATCTGCTCTCCAAAATAACAGCAGAGCATTGAAGTCATCCACTTTTACCAGTGCAGTTATGTAGCATTTGCATAGCCTAGGCTTTCAGTGCAAGGTATAATTTTGCCGCACATTACAGAAAGGCCATTCAGTCGAACACACTGGGTCAACACCACCTGATAATGGTGCCTGTGTACCTGCAAATGAATAAAGCCCGAGTTGCGTGTGTGTCTGTCGTCTATGTCAGATTTTAATGGGATCATATATTGTTTAAACATGCAGGACAAGTTAATACACTCTGCGCAGCATACCTGTCATATTAAATAATTAACCGTGGCTGAGCAAAACATTAAACAGGAAATAAAGCATTAACACAAATGCAGTTTTTCCAGAGAGATTGTTCTCCTTCAATATGTTTTTATTTCACAACTGTTGCCCAGTTTATTTAAACAATATCACACCAGCAAGAGGTGTTGTTCTGGATATCAGCACGACTGTGATTTAGCCATCGGCACAAAGCCAGAGGGTAATTGATATTCAGTTTTATATACAGCATGGTTTAATACTGCTTTTTTATGCAAAAGTTCTATAAATAACTTCCGTTTCAGAAAAAATGCTTGGTTCTATAAAAAAACAAGCAACACACAGAAAGGCTGGAACCCATGTATACAGTAACTCCATTCTGTTTTTTTTTCTTACTGTTTCTATCACTTTGTTTGTCTGTGTTTGTGAGTCTGTGGTGGCTATTTTTCATTGACACTTTATGCTGGTTACATTGTTACACCAGTAGTTGGCAAAAAGTGAGCTTTATGAGTGAGTCATTGAATCATTCAACCATTCATTTATGAATAAGACTTGTAAGTCTTTACAAGTGAGTTATTGAATGATTAGCTCATCTGATTTATTCAACGACATTGATTGTTTTAGAAGTGAGTCAGTGAATCCTTCATTCAGCCAATTGTTTCAACTACCCTGATTAAATCATGAACAAAAAAAACTGTCGATCTTTACGAACGAGTCATTGAATCATTCACTCAACCGATTTGTTCATCTATACTGATTCAATCAGGAGAGAGACATTGAATCATTCATTCAACTGATTCGTTCAACTACATTGATTTATTAAGGAGCGAGTTATTGAATCATTTACTTAGCTAATTTGTTCAAACTACACTGATGCTGAATTCAGAACTAGTATACTACTCTTGCTATTTTTACCATATTGTCATATGACGAAAATAGCTAGAGTACTATGCTAGTATGCCGATCCAAATTTAACATGATTCATTTAGAAGTAAGCCATTGAATCATTTATTCAACCGATTATTTTAACTAAATTGATTCAAATAGAAGTGAGTCATTGAATTGTTCACTCAGCTAATTCATTCAACTACACCGATTCATTCAGTAGCTAGCCATTTAATCATTCATACAACTGATTCATTTAACTACATTGATTTGGAAGTGAGTCATTGAATCATTCACTTAACCAATTTGGTTCAGTGATTCATTCAGGAACTAGTAAACACCACTGCTGTGCGATACTTAAAGACGTGACAGTTCTGCTTCACAGGTGGCACAAAAAATAAAAGAAGTAACTGGCTGCATTGTGTCTAAAATGTAAGTTTCTCAATATTAGCTTATTGTTTATTGAATTGTTGTATGAGATATCCCACTGGCAATCGTGTTGTGAGTCAGAATAGCGCTATTGCTCTTGTACCATGTGGAGCAATTGAGTTCAAATTGCACTGTTCTTAACTGAGAGCTTAATAGATGTTTTGATTGACCAAAGTAGAGCAGACACAGGTCAATGTGAGCGATGCTGACAGTGACTCTCCTGAATAAACATGTCGTGTCCTCTGAGCTGCCCTTGCAACCAGGAGAACGTGTGCTTTATTCAGGGTGTCCGCGGGTCCTTAAAAAGTCTTAAAATGTCTTAAATTCGGATTCGATGGGTCTTAATTATTTTTGGTCTCATTACCGCTAAAATATCTTAAGTCTGACGGACCTAATGACTTTACAATCATTGGACAGCCCGAAGATGTTTTCTTCCCCGCGGTAAATTACTGCGTCATCAGAGAGAGTTGCAGTAAATTAGCAGAATACAGAATACAAGCTCGCGCTGAGGCTCACTCTGTTTGTCTCGAGACTTCAGAACAAATGAGCGTGACAGCACACATAAACTCAGAAGAAACACACTGAGGTAAAAATTCTAAATGTTTAGTTTATTCATAACATGATATAGTTAAATAACACCATGACAAGTGAGCTATTTTACTCAATATAAAAAGGTCTTAAAAAGTCTTAAATTTAACTTGTTCATATCTGCAGAAACCCTGTTTATTAGTCTCCCCCTACTTGAGTTCCTGAGCCTGCTCTACTCAGGTTACAATATCACGTATTGTTTAAAACTAGCTCATTAAAGGAAAAACTGTCTCCAGGAGTGTAAGAATCAGGTTGAAAAGGAAAAGGATGATTCCGTAATTGGCCAATTGCGCAAAAAAATTAAAATCTCTGTAGAGTTTCATCCTTTCAGGAGTGGCACAAAACTCTTTTCTATTATCTCAGATGCCTAGGGCTGACCACGCAGTTTTTGTCTTTTACCCGACAGCGGGTGTGAAGTGAGGTTACCACACAGCCCATGCTGACTCCTCTAAGAGCTGATGAAATATAGATGTTGAAGTCTGGACCGCTCAATGTTTCATCTCTCTTGGTGATACCATAAGGAAACCATTAATAGTGTCAGAGAGCATTAGTCCTACAAAAAGAAGATAACTTGATGTAAGAGAATGACTGCCAGCACCTGCTTGGAATCAACTGTGCGTCCCACAAATATTAGTGAGAGAAGTTTGTCCCCTGCTGTGCAGACATTTTTTTCCTCATATGTATGCGAGGTCACTTCAAGATGGTCATTTCCCCCTGCGCTGCCTTTGTCAGTGTGCAGAGGCCCTGCATCATGCATAATCACAAACAGCAGGACCATCTGTTGTTGCCTTGTTGACTTATCTACGTGCAACCTTTTTACTGTTGGTTTTCATGTATCAGTCTGATGTAGCACCATATTTACAATATGCTAATTGGTTAATGAAATCCTGTTTGAGAACCTTTGCATATGTTATGAAGCCTGTGCTATGTGTTACGCTCGTGTTTTCAGCAGTGGACGTAGAAATAGGCTTGTATGGAGAAGTTTTGCTGTAACCATCTGCTGGCGATATATTCTACCAGCACAGATTGATGACCTTAACCTTTATTCACTCAATTGGCTTCTCCATTTCTTCAGAATAAGTGTATGTAATAGGTCACTTTGTTCTCCCTTATTACGAAACATGCAATTTATAGGAACCGCGCTCGAATGCAACAGTTTTATTCCAACTAAAATAACTAAAACAGAGTGATTTGTTTTTCTTCTAGAACCAGAGCCAGACTCCAGATAAAGCATTCCCTGTTGTCCCAGCCACGTGCCCCCACAAGGTAAGTCACTGTCTTACTAATGGTTCTGCCTGTTAGAGGCCTTGTATTTTCACTGTGTGATAAAGCCGTTACAGTTTGTTGCATCTCTGTGAATCAGTGCTTTTAAACCGGTAGATCACAACCCCAGAATTTGTCTTTTCTAATATGCAAATATAAGGGAAAAATAATGTGAAAATGTGTCTTTTGTTCTTAACATCACAGGCTTTGCTTTTTTGTTGGAAATTTCTCTTGCAAAAACATTTCTCTAGTGCAAACAACGCCAAGGTCATGGGTTCGATTCCCAGGGTATGCATGAACTGATTAAATGTGTACCTTAAAAAATCATCTACCAAATGCATAGATGCAAATTATCCCGTCAAATAAGCAAATAGCAGTCTGGACACATTGCCTTACATGCCCTTGTCCACAAAACTACACAAGGTAAAAATTATATATTTTATCGATAAGCTGTTTTTTACATGTTATTGTCAATAACTGATAAATGGCAGATAATACAATTCTATACTACTTTGTCTAAATAAATTACAGTTTTGTGATGCCTACATTCACTTGTAGCTTTTAAAATGATTATTTTTAGTTTTTGGTGTTTAATGTTTAATTTTTGTATTTGAAAAACAAAATTTTGAGATTTGCTAAAGATTACATTTAACATTGTTATTAAATTGTTAATATTTTGATTTATTAATATTAAAGGTGCACTAAGCGTTTTGCCAAATTATGTTGATATTTGAAAGCACCAAAACAAACACGCCCATACCCCGACAGGATCTCGCCCATATTTTGAAATCTCCGCCCCACATGTACGTACACAACCATGGCAACAACGAAACAAGTGAAGATGACACACAAGCATATTCAAACAAAAGCCAATATGGATAAATTGTGCGAAACGAAGCAAAACAACGTTACTCACCTATCAAGAAGAAAAAACAATGCAACCTCTGAGTCCGATTCCAGGCCTTCCCGCTCCATTTACGTGGGTCCCACCTCTTGCCTGATCATAACGATTCTTTTTTATGTTTTGTTTCTCTGATATTTTCCTCTTTTTTTTTTATCTGCCATTTCTCTTTATCTATAGCCAATCTACTAATATCCGTCCTGTCGCTCTCTTCTCTATATCATTGCAAGACACACCCCCTTACTGCTGATTGACGCTGTGGTCAAAAGCGTTTTTCAAAAATCACTTAGTACACCTTTAAGCAAGTGTTAGATGACAGCAAAGGTAATCTAAATGTAAAACTGAGCATGAACAATTAAATATCCAGTATTGATATACATCAGATATTCACCACTGATAGATATCTGATATGATACCAATATATCATGCATCACAAAAAAAGGTAAACTGACCCTTAGTTCATAGTAATATGAACTAATTTTAGTAAATTAACAGAGATTGATCATGATTTTATGAATTCTTTATTTTTATTTTTATTTTACTTTTGTGTGATAAATAATTTTGTTATTCTGTTGGGTCGCCTCTTGGTCTCTGTCCTGAAGCAAAGCCAGTTGAGAACTGCTGCTGTAATATATATATATATATGATTACTATATATGATTACTGCTCATGCATCATGGACATTTTTATCTGGGAGATCATTTTATTCTGTGAATATTTCAAAATGTATTTTGTTTTCTGCTTGAAACTAGAAATAGAAGAACATGTCTATTTCTCCACGCCGCCATGTACCAGAGCAAGGAGGCATGACAGCAGATATTTCCTTTTTATTGTGTCTTATCTCAGGTTGGAAACAAGGCCCTGAATTAAACCGTAGTATTGCAACAAGATGTCGAATTATTTGTGATTTCATGCTCTTTGGGCTCGAGATTTACCAAAACAGTGACAAGAATCAGTCGAATTCTTTGTGCAGATGAACAAAAAGAAAGTGTATTTCCTACTTGAAAGCTGGCTGCCTTGGTTTTCAGCAGTTTAGCATTTTTTTCACGCAGCCCATGTGAGAAACGCAGTAATGTGTTATATTGCCAAACCTCGCACTATTGTCAGTCCACTAACCCCAAATGTGCCAAAGTGCTCATGTCCTTTTCTGGTTGACTGGGCGGGTCAAGAGTAAAGACCTCGCAGAAAAGTCAGTGAAAGTCCGACAGCCCGTCAGCGAGGGGTCCAATTCGGCAAGCCCTTAATATACTGACAGCCATCAAAAGCGACTCGAAGCTGCAAGAGAAAGCGGCAAAATATTTATACAAATCACCCAGGTGTTCGTCGCGAGATGTACGAAAAAGGCAATCAGCTTTGTCCTGAACCTCTCGGCACACAACGGGGCTCTAATTGCTGACCCGTCCTTCACACGAGCCCGCGCGCTTCACCCCTGTCGAGATCACCTCTAATAACACGTTCTATACAGTGCTGATGCGCTCAAACTCACCTGCTCGACACCCAGGCAGCAGCGTTTTGTCCTTGAAATATGGAGAGTGTTGCAATTCCCGTGTTGCTGTCAGCTCTCCTCGAAACAGCTGATCTGGATGGAGGTAATGAAGGGATGCCACCGATTTGTGATGGCGTTAACGTTTCCCCGCGACCAGCAGAACATAATCTCTGTCTCGTCGCTTCCCATTAGCGCCTGTGATCTGCACAAACCAATATGCAAAGAAACCAATGGAGCAGTGGAGTAATTTGGCGTGTCACTCAGCACCGAATGAAAGTATAATGGCTAAACGGTTAGATATGATTTCTATAATAGGAATGTCGTATTGTGTGGCACTAAGACCGGTCCTGTTTTCTTTGCTGGTATTGTATGCATTCACAATGAAAGGGAGCTAATGAACAAAGAGCTTTTAAAAGTTCCGTGATTATATGGAAAGGAGAGGGGAAGAGAAGGATGGCGGGAGAATGAGAGAGCGAAGCTGAGGGGGGTGGAGAGAACACTAAGTATACATAATTGCTGCTTGACACATTGGCCAAATTCTGCTGTGCCAGAATTGGAGTGAAGATGATTAATGGCTGTCCGTGTGGGTGGGCAACTTGGTCACCCAGGGCTTCCAGTTTCCATAGCAATTGTACTCCAAAGGCCATACATTACATTGTGAGAGTCCCTGAGGCCTGAGCATTGTTAAATTCCCCAATAATATCTTACATTATGCGTTTGTCCTCTCAGCGGTAATTCATTCCAGCCGCTGCGATTCACAATGGGTCAGTAGTGAAAGTGGAGAGAGTCCCAATTTCAGATCTCCTATCCGAATGTGAAGGATGGCACATCTCCGCGCTTAACGTTGATCAAGTGGCCCTGACTTGAGGGAAAGTGATCAATTGTCTGACATTACAGCAGGCACGTCTGTTCTGCCGATCCGACGGACGACCCGGCTGATATTCTGCAGGTATTTAAACACCATTCATCAAGGCTTCGAGTTAACCCTAGCAGGCAACCTCCCTGTCGAGCCGGCAAAGCAGATGGCAGATGGAGTGAAGAATTTCACCCTTCCCTCCATGAGTGCGATGCGTGCGAAATCCTGGCACGAGCCACCCGATCCAGGCACGGTGCGACCGCCGTACCCCCCCGTGACATCACGATCCCCCGCCGCTCCGAAATTGGCCCTCATGACCGCGCACTCCTCCACATCCTACTCCAAATGGTGTTTTGAACTCGGGAGAACTGGTGGTGAATAAGCACATCTTAAAAATGATTCATACTAGATATTAAATGGAAATCCCTCCAGCTATGCAACAACAGGCTAGTCATGCAGCAATTAAGCCGCGTAGCATGCAAAACTCAAGGCGGCGTGCTCTGCTTTGGGGGCTCCGCTCGCGTACATGCGCCATTCAGGAGGGAGTAGGCGTGATGCTGGAAGACAAGCAGCAAAATGCCCGAACCCATACCGCCGTCTCAGCGTGGCGCCTGAGGATGCTTTGGCAGACATCTTTAGACAAACATGAAGTAGAGCTGGAAAAACTCACAATCGGAAAGGTCAGTTGTGACCTCTGGGTGCAGGGCTATGCTGAGCCTGTCACTAGCAAGCACAGCATGTTCATGTCAAACAGAGAAAAGGTACACCGGCCGCTCCGCTCTCGAGTCTGCCGTGCAGCAGGTTGCGTGTGCGTGCATCTGTGTTGAGGATATTTATAGCTTTTTTGATTCATCAGTAGGGTCCGGAACCGAAAACAGGTTCTTATTCAGATTTCTTTTCCACGTGTATAGAAAATACCAGGACTATATGACGTTTGGTTCTGTTAACAGTTCTCGAACAACATGCTTTCGTTTTGATTTTAGCCAATAAAACATGTACAGTGCAACCAGTGTTGTCTGATTGGCGAATGAATCGCTGAACACTCTATCTTTCAAAAGTTTGACATCAGTCCATTTTTTAAGAAATTAATATTTGTATTGACGCACTAAATGTATCAAATGTGACAGTAAAGACATTTATGTTACAAAACATTAACATTACATACTATTTCAAATAAATGCTGTTCTTCTGTTCTTTCCGTTCATCAAAAAATCCAGAAAAAGTATCACAATTTACACTGAAATATTAAGTAGCACTATTGTTTTTAAAAAATAGCAATAAGAAATGTTTCTTGAGCAGCAAATCAGCATATTAGAATGATTTCTGAAGGATCTTTTGACACTGAAGACTGGAGTAATGCTGCTGAAAATTCAGCTTCTATATCACAGCAGAAAAAAAAAATCTTACAGAACTTTTGAACAGTAGTGTTTGTTGCCACGTTTTTTGTTTGTTTGTATATAATTAGGGCTAATTATTGCATTTCATTCATGCCTCCTCTAAATACACTGAGAAGGTCAACTGTAAACACAGCTTTTGCAATAATTGTTTAATTATATGTATTATTGAAATTTCTAGGCATTTGACAATTAAATTAGACAGATTTTTCCTCAAAGATTTAATTATTAAAAAAATACCAAAAAGTAAATTAAATCAATCAATCAATCAATCAACACTGTAACAGTTAAATTCCCATTCTTAATCATCTGGTGATCTGTATGTTTTTTACACATTAGCTCTGGTAACATATCTATACCAATTTC